ATTTTAAATTGTATTGAAATGATTTTAATGTTAGTCGCTTTGAATCTTCATGTGAATAGAAAAAGCGGGGTATAAATAAACATCATCATCATCATCATCATCATCATAATTCTTTCACTCCTAAGCTCATAACAGGTACAAAGTGATGGATGGCAATTCCAACTTTGTTCTGTTTTGTTAAGGCTTTTTGCAGAGGCAGAATTTAAATAGAAATTTAACTTGAAGGTTCATTTTTGCCCTTGTAAATGCAGCTGGGTAAATTCTAAAGCTTACCAATTTAATGAACATATTAACTATTTTCTACTAACTTACCGATTTTTTCTGGGAAATACGAAGCTGTGGGGCAGCAACACCTCTGATGGGGCATTTTTTCAGAGGAGAAGGTGCCAGAGATTAGGCTGGGAGTTGGTATCATTTGACATTTGTCGTGGTTTATGCTTCAGATTTTATTTTTTCAAAATAAATGAATAAGTGGATTGATACATATACATTTAAATTAATGCTTCAGATTATGATAACCTCCAGTTCATATGCGTATTCTGAGTACTAAACTATCAGGGGCAAATTATCAGAGGACAAAGGGAAGGCCTGTAAATGCTGTTTGATACAATTGCCAGAACTCTTGGTCATCAGCTTTGATGGCTAAGACTAAGATGTTAATGTGAGGGGAAGGGAGTTGTGACAGTAAATGAAGCCTGAATTTCCTTATACTGTATAAGAGAAAATGGGAGAAGTGTTAAATAGAGTTAAGTTTTATGTGGTTAAGTGCATGGGGAATTTGATGATATATAATATAGATGACTGTATTAGGTCAAAAGGAGCGGATTGTAAAGGAACAGAAGATGCACAACCCTGAAGAGTTATCTGTAAAGTGGCAAGTAGATGCTACTCGGTCATCCCTCCCATGGGATGGGAGAAAGAAAAAGAAGCCAGATGGGGAGGAAGGGGGACATATATGAGAAAGATGTAAGAAACAATAAGATCACAAAGAGTTCGTTAAATAATTATATATTCATTGATGGTTGCTTTAAATATTTTGTCAGTTAACATAACCGGCTTAAGCTCTCTAGTTAAGAGAAATAAGCTGTGCAAAATGGTAAAGGAGAATCAGGTGGACATAGTATTATTACAGGAGATACACAAAAAGAAGGATAAATCTAAACTTCTGCACATCAATAACTGGGGGAAACAGCTAGAATCTAGAGGCACAAATAAATCCCAGGGGGTAGCCATACTAATAAAGGATAGTCTGAATTTAGAAAGAGAAAAAGTAAAAGGATTCTGAGGGGAGATGTGCAATGATAAAAGGGCAAATAAGTTCCCAATCAGAACCAAGTACGATTTATCAACAAAACACTTAGAGGAATGGAAAAGCAGGCTATGGGTGGCATAATTATCGGAGGATATATGAATTTAGAATTATTAAAAAAACTAAAAGAAGAGGAACATGAATTGGAAAGTTAATAACAGGTTAGGAGAAAGAGTGTGCTGGAAGCCCCTTCCATGCAAGCTTTTAAACAAAAGCTTGATGGCCATTTGATTGTGCTTTTCCTGTTTGGCAGGGGTTGGACCAGACGGCCCACATGGAGCCCTTCAACACAGTCATATAACCCAGAATATCAAAGTAGAAAATCCCACAATATCTGCTTTGAACTGGTTTATCACTGCCATATATTCCAACTCAAAGCAGACATTGCAGGTTATCTGCCTTAATATTTGATGTGGAAGGGCCCTAGGTCTCTTCCAAATCTATTATTCTAGGACTCTGTGATTCCATTTTCAATTGATGCCAATTTCTGACAATGCTCCAGTCACTAACCCATCAGATATGCAGAATTGTCTTACAGTTCTCCATGTTATTGACTTGTAACAAAATGAACACACATGCTTCTGCATGTGTGCATTCACCATGATTTACTAATATGGGATGCAACAGTCTGTGGTTACGAAAAATCATGAATCCAGAGGGTCCATTGTATCATACTTCATCACTTGACATACAAAATCAGTTTCAATAACCAAAGTCATTTTGTATTGTAGCATAAGTTACATATATGTTATGGACAACATTGTGATAAGTTTTGTACGTTTATTTCTTGAATTTTTATTCTATGATAATATGCTCCTCGTTGGTAATATTTGAGCTATTCTTTCTCAAAGTAACATGCTATACTTGCTATTTGGAAATCCTTGTTATACCTTGCTCTTAATAATAAACATTTTCTGACAAATTGCTACTGATAACTACTACTATATCACTGGTGCAGTTCTTTTTATTCTTACTACCGCTGTTCATAATTCTCTCAGGTAGCATGACGTTCTTTCTATTTATTATTTATATCTTTTGTTGTTGCAGTTTGTTATCATAAACTGTTAATACTGACTAATTATTACTCCTTATTTACCATATATCATAATTGTTCTCATATTAGATCTGTTTTTTTAATGTCTATAATAGTCATTTAGGGATGTTCTTTTGAGTTGGCAAAAGAACATTCTGCTTCACCAGTTTCTCATTCTGGGAATTCTAATATGTCTGAACATGGATGATCAAAAGGGAATGATTAACTTCTCAATTCTTGAGTCCTATTTCACAGTAATGCTCAGTAAAAGACAAGTACAATTGACCCTTGATGTCCACAGGAGATTGGTTCCAGGACCTACACAGATACCCCAAAACGTGCATACTTGCGTTCCTGTTAAAATGACGTAGGGTAGCAGCAGAGGTGGTGGCAATCTCCTGCCACCAGGCACATCACAAAATGCACATTCTTTGGGCTCTGCTGCCTCTTCAGAGCATACCAGCCACATTCTTCTGCCTTTGAAGCACAAGGCAGAAGCAGTCAGCTGGTGGACTTCCTGGAAGCAGGGAAGCCTGAATAATGCATTTCTGGCACTGAGGCTTTCTGCTGCCTTCACTGCCCTAATGCCTTTTTAAATAGGGACTTATAAGCCTCATATTGCATTCACTGTGCAAGCCTTGTGAATGCCTGTTAAAAATGGTGTCGAGCAGAAGTAGATGTGGCAGTAAGCTCCACCAATCTGCCTTGCAAAAGAACTTCTGTCTTGCCAAGGAACCCTACCATCTTGAAAGCACAATGCTCCCCAATCATCTCTTATATTGCAGCAGCAGCAGCAGAAAAATGTTTCAGACTTACTGTAATTTATCCAGGATGTTTATATCAGATATTTTTGACACTGGCAAGACATTAGACTTTTTAAAGCCTAATATTACACTTGCCAAGACAATAAAATGATCTATTCCCAGTTCATTTTCCCATGGTAAAAATCCACAAAATATTAGCTTTTTAGAAGAATTGTTGCATTGTCTTAATCATTATGATTGCCTCTATATTAACTTTCTCCAGCTCTGAAATATTATTTTATAGTCCTCTAACCAGAACTGTACATGCATAATTGTGATCACATCATAGATTTTTCAAAGGGCATTCTAATACTGCAGTTTAACTGCCAATTCCTTTCCTAATAGTGACCAGCATGATATTGTCTTTTCTAAAGCAGCAGCACAGCAGGTCTGCATTTTCATAAAGAATATTTTCCTGGCTAAACCTTGCCAACTAAGACTCAATCTGCATTGATGTGGTAGTGACTGGGGTGGACTGACCCCAATCTTTTTTTTTCTTATTAATGCTTCTATGCAGATCTATTATTCTATTTTTGTAACTTTTGCTATTAATTGATAATAGTACTGAATCAGGTTTTTGATTTCTAGATTTTCAGTTGTTATAAATCCTTCAGTAATCTGCTTTTCATCTGACACATCCAGATGCCACACTACATTGGTAGTGCTTTGTTTAATAAAGTACCATACATTTAGATTTTACAGTGGATTTTTGTTTTTTAAACTGCACTGTTGTTGACTGGACTGTATGAGATGACACTGCCATTATACTAATTTTCTGTTGCACATATGTGTAGTTTTCTAGATACATATTTCTACCCAATACGTATTTAGCCCAGCATAATTTATTTTAATCCTTTCTGATTCATGTTTACATTAAATAACATAAAAATACCATGTCTATAAATTGACATATTACGATACAATACAAAAAACTATACCTAAAGTGCAAGATCTGTTATGTTTTCCAAGATAAATCAATTAGTTTTCCTTCTTTCTTGCATTACGCTCTCATAACAGACCTACTAAATCAATTTATCATTTAAAGGAAAGGTTCAGTGGACACATAACTGAAATAGTTTTATTGATTCAGATTCACTTACGTTGCCTTTTCAGATTGAAGTGTAGAAAGAATGGATCATGCTGATGTTTATTGCACACAACACAATATTTGCTTTTCCAGTTTTCCACAGTGAAGAAGAATTCAACTATGACTTTATTGAAACGTGACCCATTATTATAATCATCGTCAAGGGAATTTTTCCCCCCATTTCTGATTTTTAAGCATAACTCTCTTCATCTATATGTGTGGCTCTGTGTGGGCAGCTATTTAATGAAGGAAGAAAAAATACCTGTAATTCATTAATTTTCTTAGGAAAGTATTGTCCACATAAAGTCCCACTTGTCAGAGCAAAACACCCTCCACACACTAAAATTTAATTTGGTGAAAAGTATAGATCCATTCATAAGATCTATTACTTAGTACATTCTGCAGAGTTTCTATTCCATTACATTAATCCCTTTTGATGAGTTTTTTCCACCTAACTTGTGGCCTATTTTCATGAAAGATGCTGCCCTTATCCTCAATGCAGACTATATGTGGACAAACACCTCAAAGAAAATTAATTACAGGTAAGTGATGTTGTTCTGTGAATACAGGTGGGAGATTGTGATTTTAACATGCTATGGGGTTTTGAAACCTTTCTCAAATCTCAGAAAACGTTTGCATCTGGGAATGGGCAAAGGTTACGGTCAGTTCTTGTTGTGCTCTAAGCACGTCATCACCCCTAAATTGACCTGCTTTACCTTGAACCTGGGAGTCAGAAATCCCTTTTTCTCTTCTGTTTTTCTGCTGCAGAAATTCCCAACATTCCCATTTTGTGGGCTCCAGAGAGGGGTAAGCAACATCTTCAATCCCAGCCAATCATTTCTAATCCAGTTCTTTGCTAGTATTTTTGGTTTGTTTTCTTTTAAAATCATTTATTAGAAACAATTTTAGATGCGATCACATTTTTTAATTTCCTTGTGGATTCTCATTTTTAAAACAAGTTTATTTACTGGAGGATCCCCGGGCCTCCCTCAGGCACTAGGGCTCAGCCTCATTTCCATTTGTGTGCTGTAATCTTTTGAATGTTCATGATACAGTTACGTTGAACTATTGCTGTTATTGGAAGATGAGCATCAAGATTCTGAGGTTCTTCCTCTTGCAATATTCTTAGCTACCTGAAAAATAGTGTCATCTCACTGCCCTGGCAATCTGTTGAGAGCTTCTCTTTCCTCCTTGCCAGCAGCTTTATCTGATTATACATGGACACGGCCCGCTTTTAATTCTGTATTTTAAAATGATATGGCACTCATTGTTTTCTTTCTACTTTGTCTTCTTGCTGGCTGCCTGGCATTGCAATGCACTGCTTTGCTTCTTGATTGCCTGGAATGGTACTCTTTCCTTACTTGCTTAAGTCAACTCAAGGTACTGCCTGTGCCTTCTTGCTGCCATTTGTATATGACTGCTATTGGTCAGTTACTTCTTGTTGAACTTCTCCCTTCTTTTGGTTACTTAAGCATTTGCTCTCTTGCTTCTGTGCGCATCTGCTGATGTAATGGAATTGCTGTCCCAATGCTTTGTGCATCTGCTGATTGATACTGGTCTATCAACTTGTTACGTGTTTGTCTTTTCCTTCCTTCTTTGTCTGCTTGACCACCAGTTTACATTAATTCTGCTGTGCCCTTGAAATCTGATTGCACATGAGCATTGCCATTTTTATACAATCTTTCTCATCTGCTAATTGTTTGCCATTCTTCTTTGTTTTCCTTTACTGCTTACTCTTCCAAACATGCAAGAGAAAATGTGAGGAAGTGAAAAGTGTTCTGATTTGGCTCTCTAAAATACCCTCTATATGCACCGTACCCTTGGCCAAGCTTACTTATCTGCATTTTGAAAATATATCTCTTTTCCCATTGGAATACACTGTCTTGGCCCCTAGCAAGATTGTGGGATTCTGGATTTCATTTATAGCTTTTCTTCATATTATCAAGATACTTTAAAATATTAAAATATTAGTAACAAGGACTTTGCTTCATGTTAATAAACTGGTTCCAATTGTAGTTGCTAGAATGCGTTCAGTTTGGCTGTATAATATAGTCAACTGTTTATCCCTATTTAGTCATAGCAAAGCAAACACAGGAAAATTTAAGTTTGGATCTTTCAGTCTGTTGAAATGAGAATTGCAAGGAGGTTTTTCTGGTCATTGGCTTCTGAGCTTGGCTTACTGTATCTATATATAGTACGTATTTCTTTTTTGCAGAAGTTTTCTTCAAGATTAAAGGAAACATATAATGACTGTTTTATTCATTACAAAAGATTGCATTATCTGCATTCATTCTAGAAAGGCACAGAAGCAGATTCAGGAGATAAAAGAGAAAAACTGCTTAACTTAGATATAATTAATGTGGTTTCAACATACTATAACATTCCAAAGAAGACGTTGGCAATGGCATTATCTTTATCCTGTTTTTTACACCATGATGGAATATTTTGTCTCTTAAATATAATCCACATAGTGCTGGACTTCCAATGTAGGCACCGCTGTATTGCCACCTACACAGTTGCAAAAAGTCTTAACATTTCTGCCATTCCACTTAGAGTGTTTATTTTTCTATAAAAGAGCAATAAAGAGAAATGCACCAACTCATCCATTGATTTTTTTTCCACTGAGGAACTTCTCGACGGCAGTCAATGCAATGCTTAACTTCCAAAATATTGTTGTGGGTTTTTTTTACCTTTGATGTGGCAAAGCAGAATGATATGAACTGGTTGTCCATAGATGCCCTCTGCTCTGGGAAAATTCAGATTTCTTCTTTTGGGAACATATTTAAATTCATTAGAATTAGGATGTTCGCCAAATATGAAAATGTTTCAATTTGTCTGGTTTTATTTTATCTTCTGGCTCTAGGTTTTTAGGTGGAATACATTTGATTCTGTGAACACAAATGTTCCCATAGACCTAGGACATTTTAGTATTCCAAAATCACCCAGAATTTTTATTTGGGTCAGAAAATACCCTAGAGCTCACACTATGCTACACTTCTTATCCCAGTTCAGAAGGGATTATTTGGGTAAAATTGAGAAAGAGAGCAATCTTTTCTATTTTGATTAAGAAAATTCTGGGAAATCTAAGGAAAGGTAGCAGCCATTCTTGAAAAAGTCTTGCTAGTAAATCTTTTAGCATCAGGAGCCTTCCGAAAAAAATTCCCAGCTGCCAAAGTAACTCATTCAATATTGAGATTGTTTATATAATTAAAACCTAAGGCTGATATCTGCTTCTGTCCCATAGACTTAGAATAGGTTCTTTGTGTTGATCATATTCTTACCTGTTGTATTCCTTACCTTACATGGCAGATTCCTGACTCAGTAAACATTCATGCATTCACATTCATCTAAGTGACAGAGAATAATGCCAACTGAAACCATTATTCATGCCTTCATACCGAATAAGCTAGCATTTGAATATTGTTGGAATCTGTACTGCTTGTAGAACTTTTTTCTATGTTGGAATCTGTACTGCTTGTAGAACTTTTTTCTATGATAAGGGTGCTTAATGGTGTGCTTGATAGGTTTGGTTTACTGATTCATATCTTGCCATTCCAAAGAACTTAGAGCAATCAGTAGTCTACATAAATACACAATTACTATCACAACTATAGACATATAAAATCTCTATTTACAAATAAATAGCTAAAATTTAAAACTACCTAGAGTCCAAGTTTTGGGGGAAAGGCAGGGTATAAATGAAGAAGCTGATGACGATGATATACATTCCAATAATATTATAAGTATAACTAAAGCAACATCAATAATAGATAAATAAAACAGTTCCTGGTTTTCTGATTTGAAATAGATATATTCATCCCATTAATTGTTTTTAACTGATACCTGGAATTTAAAAGAGAGAGAGAGAGAAATGTGATCTCTAACAGAAGCAGATTCTATAACTGAAATATCTTGGAATTCTGCATAAACTTTTAGGTTACCCTTTGTAAATTTTAGGTTGGGTTATTATATCCCTTAATGTTCTGCATCAGTGCTCTGGACAGTTTTCATGTCTTTGTTCTCTTCTCACTTCCACTTTAATATCGTAATAACTAGAAATAGCAATAAACTACAGTAGGAATTAAGAACTGTTTTCAGGAATTATTCTGTTCCAATCTTCTCTGATGCAGCTTTTTCTATATAAGATTTTCCACATAAAACACCAGATGTCTTCACTTTTAAATTGATCTTTCCATAAGGGGCGTCATCAAGGTTCCGTTTGGAGAGCCAAACAGTCTAAATGACACTGCAACTAATATACATTCAACTGAACATTATATTATGTCAATTTATCGAAGCAGGTATTCTTTATCAAGATTTCTGTATAAGTCTTCTATTTTAGATTTAGGCTTTTAAAGAAGCATTCCTAGAACTGGCTTGGGGCACCAGGGGGCGGGGTGGGTGGGGTCTAATAGAAGCTTTCTGTTCAGCTTGTTCTTCATTGTTCAGTTATGTTGTCCTCTTTTGTTGTGATTAGCAAACATTTGGAAGTGTTTACAATCACACAGTGTACTACATTTTCGATTCTATTTAATTCTAAGTTTAATAATTAATTTATACCTTTTAAGTCAATTTCTTGTTCTTATGTGAGAATATTCATTCTTGCTGACATACCCATTAACTTCATACAAACGTTGCAATCTTAATTCTATTGATACTTTACAAGACCAAAAGATTTAATGTTACTTTTATACAGATGTTTGTAATTCTCCCTCCCTGGCATATATTTCTAAAAAGAAAAAGCACTACTTGAGACCGTTATAACCCTCCTTTCCTATTGGTTTTGCAGTGGATAGGATTATGAAATTAGTTAGCTGTTTCTGTCGCTGTAATAAGACCACAGAAAGTGTGTGATCATTTATGTAAATTACATGAAATATTGAACAACAAATGTAGCTAGGGAGTAAAAGCTTTATATTTTAAAATTGGCTCAACAAAGATTGTTCTTTCCCCTCTAACCAGGTGCATCTAATTTTGCCAAGCCATGACTTCCGGTCTCCCTAGCAATCTGCTGCCTGCAAATTTCATGGTATCAATAGCATGTTAATTCACGTGGTTGTTACTTTGGATATTTTTATTTGTGTGGTGTATATTTTAGCCAACATTTAATGCTTTCAAAATTTTAAATGGAGCATGCTTGAAGCTGCTATTTACCATTTGGAATCTGTATTGTCTTCAAGCAACTTTTTAAAAAGATAAATTCTGATAACAGCATTGGTTTGCCTCCATATCTGCCATTTTTCATTCTCTGATTTCTGGTATTTTCCTTGAACATAGATTATTACTTTTATATTCTATGTTTTAAGACTTTGCGTCGTTAATGTAGCTTTATTTTTCCAATAAGGTATGGGAAGTAATGATGAAATATACTGTTGAAAGCATAACTTGAAAGTTGTGTATGAACAATTGCAGAATTAAATAGTGTTGAAAGGAGATAATAATGTTGGTGATTGCTGATTACCTACATCTAGAACTGATGTAACAGTCCTTCCTTCTGTCTATTTGAACTACACACACACACCCCAAACACACACATACACACAGCAAAACACATATTGAGTTGTGTCATCACTGTAAACTTTGAAATATTTGTCTAAAAGTGTCATAATTTGTTACTTAATTATTCTTCAGACTCATCATCCCTCAAAGTTCTTAAATGAAGTGGTGAGTGAGATTAAGGAACACAAATCGGCCTGCTCATTTCTTCAAAAGTCGGTATACCATACCTGTAGATAGCCAGATCAAGGCTATGAAATAAAACAAATATTTGCAGACGCTAAACCATCCATGCATCATCTCTCTCCCCC